GTTCTTATACATTCCCCATTCCCACCACACACCCAATTGGTTCTGCAGTCTCGCGACACCGTTGTTACATACGCGTGACATTATTAGTGTACGGTTATGTCTCTGCTAAGGCGTTTTACGATTCATCAATCAAGACAGTATCGCCTGCGGTTGCGGGTGGAGGTGCTGAGTCCAGCGACAAGCGGAGGCGGGTTTGGAAGAGGGTGGGGTTGGGGTGGGTTGGTCTGGGGTACTTTGAGGGGGGCCGAGATGGGAATGCGGATGGAAGTGGAGATCGGGTCGGAGATGTGAGGGGAGTGTTTGAGCGAGGGAGAGATGGGGAAGTGGTGGTGGAAAGGGTGGCCAGGTGTGAGTTTGAGCGGGTGTTGTTCAAGGTGCCGGCGCCGGAAAAGACGCTAAGGACGGTGTGATCAGGATAGGGGCGAGGTAGGTCTCGGGTGGACATCCCGCTTTGCATCTAGGGGCAGAGCTAACATGTGCAGCACAATAAACCGGCAAAGATAAGGCAGCGGAACTGCCAAACATGGGTGGTCGAGTCCGCCGAGCAGTTGGTAAGAGAAGGGGTCTTTGAACAGGGAGTTCTGGACTACCTGCGGGCAGGGAGCATCATGACACAGTCTTGACCAGGAAACCAACTCAGATTTGTTTGTTCCTTCAGTTTGTTACTGGTAATATTACCACATCACCTGCTTACAGCCGCGGCTTTGCCCGCTCCAACTCGGCCACGACCTGCTCGTACCGATCATACGCATCCTTTTCTGTATCGAAGTTGAGCAGCCACTGCTCCCGCACTAAGTGGATCATCTCGGGGTTTTTCCACACTTTATTCCAATCCGCCTTGTGCCACCGCTCCCGGGTTTGCGGGCCCATGGCCTGCGCGCGGTGTACCCTCTCGTACCTCAGCTTCTCGTACGCCCGCAGCGCTGTGGGAATATCCTTCTCCCCGCTCAGCTCTAAGCACGTCGCCAGGGCCACTCCGTCCTCGATCGACTGGCTCGCGCCCTGAATAGAAGTCGGTAGGAAGGGGTGTGCCGCATCGCCTATCAAGCAGATCCGGGCCCTGGGTGAGATAAAGGTCGGGAGGGGGTCGCGGTAGACCAGTTTGTGGTCGATGAGCCGTCCGTCGGGGGTTGCCTTGACCAGCTCGTGCACCACAGGACACCACCCTTCGAGGTACTTGAGCGCCTCTTCTGGCTTGCCCGGGAACTGCCAGCTCTCCTCGATGTTCCCGTCGTCGATATGCGTAAACACCCAGTTTACTTCGGTCCCGTTCTTGATGCTCGATGCTAAGAAGTGGATGTCCGGGCCAATAAACCCCAGATGCGAATCCCCGTGTGTTACTAGGTGTTGGATCACGGGGTTGTCCCGGATGTGGTCAGCCGGGAACCACGCCCTGTACACAGCATAGCCCGACGACTTGGGGTTCTCGTCAAAGCCAAGCACAATCTTCCTCCCGCGGGACCGCACCCCTTCAGCAGCAACGACAACGTCCGCCGAGAACCGTTCCCCGTTTACCACTACCCCCGCCTGTGGAGGGAAGTCCGTCTCAAAGTAATCCTCCACCCTCGAACCCAACCGGATATCGATCCCCTCGAGCTCACAGCATGCCGATAGATGATGTTATGCAACTGGCCCCGGTGGCCGTTGATCCGCCTGCCCCATGCCTTCTCATGCGCAAACGACTGGCGCGTCACAAACTTGCCCTCGTGATGGTACAGGTCGAGCCAGGTGGTCTGACGGGCGATGGCCTCCATGGCGTCGACGACCCCCGGCCAGCGCTCAAAGGCCCTGCGAGCCGTTGGGGTCGAAGCTGATAATGTCGCCGATGCGCGTGATCTCGTCGATGTTGTCGACCTTTTCGAAGAGCGTCACCTGAATGTCCCTTTGCGGTCGCACTCGATGGCCGCCGCCAGCCCGGCGAAGCCCGCGCCGACGATGATCACCTTGATGCCGGACGGCGGAAGGCGCGGAAATGTGTTGGCCATATATTTGATGTTTTCCCCTTTCCCTCTATCGGAGTGGACGTGTGTCGCATTAAGGAGAGCCGAAGAGTGGGATGGGGAGGGTCCTGGATGAAGAAGGGTTGAAGTCTTGGGATAAGTACGAACTGGCCACGCCGGCCCGGTGCTTGTTTTAACCCCGACGGCAATTGACCTGTCATGATGCTCAATCCAGCATGGCTTCCTGCGGGTCGTCCTGGGTTGTTGGTTCTGACCATCTTCCGCCAATCGCTGGTCCGGCTGAACTGCCGACCCCCGCATTGTCCGGGGTCCATGGAACTGTGCACACCGAATTCGATGATCATCCTCTACACTAGATATCCATCCCATAATCAAGTTCTGAGTATCAAGTTTCCGGAGCCAAGGGTATGGTGATCTGATGTACCAAGCCCGCCCCTGGCTTAGCCTTCGACTCCCTGTTAGACCCGCGATATCAGGGCTAGTCACTAGTAAAGCGATAATCACCATTCACCAAAGCCCACATACTTCAGATATTTGTACTGCAGCCAACAGAAGCCGGATGCAAAGGGTAACTATGTACACGAAAACCCTACTACTCCAAGCCCCTGAACCCCTGAACCCCTGAACCCCTGAACCCCTGAACTCGATCCTCATCAACCGTGCTGGAATCTGAAATCTTGTTCTCTTTGGAGCGCCTTTACACGCCCACCGTTTAGATGCACTGGGAGTACCACTGGTTGGAGGCCTGGCAGGTCGAGCCGCTCTGGCAGCAGGACGGGCCTTGCCAGCCCTGGCCACCGCACTGTCCCCACTTGGCAGAGCACTGCAGGAGGTTAGTTAGCACGGGAACCATTATGGTGTTTGCTGATAGAGAAGGGAAGGGAGAAGGAACATAAACATACATTGCTGCCGCCACCGCCGGTGTTGCCGCCGCCAGTGTTACCGCCGCCGGTGTTTCCACCGCCAGTGTTGCCGCCGCCGGTCGAGCCACCAACGTTGACGGTAGAGGAGCCGCTAGAAAAGTAGCCCTCAGTGGCAACGATCTGGTAGTCGTGGGTGCCGAGGCGGAGGCCAGACTGGGCCCAGGCGTCGAAGTGGGCTTGCATGTTGACGCTGCCGCCGCTGCGCTTGTTGACGCGGACCGACCAGAACTGGTCGAAGCTGCTGGTGCCCTCGATCGACGGCTGGTTAGTGCGCCTGGTCTTGTAGACGTTGTAAGTCGAACCGTCGGTGGTGACGCTGCCGAGGCGCTGCGCGCCAGTCGACGGGTCGTAGGTGCCGAAGTTCTCGACGACGTAGTACTCGATAAGAGGGTTGCGGGTTCCACCCGTAGACGGCAAGGTACGAGTTGCCGTTGGGGTTGTATTGAGCCGCTGTAATTGATGGTCCTGGAAGCCTTGATAGTCACGTTCACCGCTGGGCGGGTTTTAGATTCCCTTCAACCTACCGAGCAGATCCTTGGGTGCCAGCCCTTGCCGCCGACCCAGTTGCCGTTGCCAGACCAGGACGCGCTGTACTGGCCACCAGCCTCGTTGGTGTACCGAACGTTGCCAGCACCATCAGTCCAGAAGGAGAAGTAGTAGCCGTTGTGGGTATCTCCGTCTGGCTGCTGGTGAGCGTCTGGCGCTTGTGCATGCCGGGCAGCTCGCCGGGGGCGGCGACAGCCACGACAGCCGCCGCGGCCGCAAGGAAGAGGGAAGAGATGGCAACCATTATGGCGACTTAGTGCTCGAGGAAGCTCTACGTCAGTGGGTGATGGATGGGATGAGGAGGTGGCCCCGGTCCTCAAAGGGGATGGCTGAGGTTGTTATATACACACTTCCACCAGCCTCACAGCTGAATCTGGCTCGGAGCATATACCCTCGACGCGTCCCCCAGAGCGCTATTCTTAGCTGAACCTGTGGACTTGTTGATGCCGCCTTCCCGATCCGGGCTAGGGTACGCTAGCCTTCGAAGTGATCGCATCCCCTCCCGTCTCCATCAATGCTCCGTTCCCACCCCCTGCGTGTCATGCAACGCACCCCGCCCTTGGCATTCGTTTTGTCGCGTCCATGCTGATCCGGGCCTATCCGAAGGTTTAACTTGGGATGGTCAAGCTGTTGGACAATCATGCCCCAAAACGAGCTATGCTGTTACCCTGGAGGATGCTGGCCTGGCTTGTGTTCCCTTGGTTTTTCCCCAGCGTTCAACTTGTCCCTATCCCTGACGATAACAAACAGTTACCAACAACAGTCAGGAGCCCCTGCCAAAGCGAGCCAGACTCCACCGCTCAGCTCTCGCAATCATGGGGCAACCGGCTAGTCCAGGGATAAACCTCCGTGCTTGTCCTTGGATGCAACAATGGAAATAGCCAGGGGCCGCAAACTTCACCTTCTTGAGAAAAGCATCCTACCAACAGGCACATGCTACGCTCAGCTCAGTGCACATGAGCCGCACGTCCCGCAAACATCACCGCCGTGTGTGGCCCAGAAACCCGGTCAGGCATTGATGAAAGGGGCTCAGCAAATGAGAAAGGGCCAGTCAGCCTCGTTGAAACGCGATGCGAGCCGGGTAGGTGGGACCTTCTAGAAAGATGCCGGCAAAAATGGCCGAGAAGCTGCACAGGCACTGACTGCCGATTCAACCGCCGGCTAAACGACACCTGGTACGACCCAAGGACCGGGACCGTTGGGCGGCAAACACTCCAGGGGTCCTTCTCGCCAGGTTCTTGGGCACTGAGACGCCTGGTTGGTCCCACGAGGACTTCACACTTGCTGAATGAGGGAAGTACGGCTCTTCCACCCCGAGAATTACTTCCGAGAACAAAGCAGATAGGGGAACGGAAGGTCACAACGCCACCACGTCGCCATCACGCCGCCACCCCCGACACCTCGTAGCTATGTGTGGCAATAGACGCCAGGGCCATGACGGGGTTGTATTACATGGTCCAAACACCGAAACGCTGGAGAAAATCCTTACTCGAAGGGCGATTTCAAGGAGGAGATCTTCGTGATGCAAGGAGTCGATTCCTAAGATCATGCTGGGTACGCCATCCGGGCCCTAACCCGGGGAATATCGAAGATCACCAATTCTCACATTATCTCCAGATGTTTACAAGATGTTCCCACTCCACGTTCGGGGACTTTTGGGCCATGTGCTCAACCACCGTCACATTCGGCTCCCATGTGTGCTTAACCGCCACCGCCAGACTCTCTTCCTCTCAATGCCACTCAAGTGACTTAGCCAAACTTTAGCCAGAATTCATCCGTGCAGGAATCGGGACTTGGAGTAGCATCGCAACTCTTCAGGTTACCCTTCTCAAAAACAGGCTGATATCGCCAACCTCCCTTTGAGACGGTGCCTCGATTGAGTTCTATTCCGGAGAGCAGCCGGTTCCAGCCGGTGTGGCTTCCCCGGAAACTTGATCCAATACGCCTGACAACGTCTCGATTTCATCAAAAGACTCATCAATGGTCCACCGAGCCGCACAACCACCAAGAGCTATGCGCCAGTTCTCTGGCGACGTTAAGGAGGAGCAGGTTGCCGGTTGGATACCCGGCTCAAATCCTGAACGCCCCAAGGCAGCTATTGGAGTGGGTCCCGATACTCGCTACCAATATCTTCGCGTGGATGTTTCTTTGCAACTCTCTCTCTCTCCGAAACTTAAATTGTTCGCTGGGGTCTTTCTTGATTCTAACCACGAGGCGTTGATTACCAGAATGGCCCGATACGCGGTGATTGATGCGCTTCACACTGAAGGTCCCTACCCAATAATCGTAGAAAATGGCCTTAGTACCCGGGCTCACGTGGCAGCGTTATTCGAGGCCCTCTACTTGGGTACTCATCATGTCACTCATGGCTGAACTGTTTCCTTAGTCTCATGGTGCAAGGTCCATAAAAGACGGCACTTTGCGTTTTTCCTACGACACATGGCTCTGGCGCTGGCCCTAAACCAATACAGGCGGAAAAGGTAAAGACAATCTTGTAATAAAGAAATGGCTACGCCGCTAAAAATACCCTACCTTCTAAGGGCTTGCCCACTTACATGTCTCTTTATTGTTTTTTTTTTCTTTCTGGTCTGGCGCTTTGTGAGTTGTGACTCGAGAGAGCCGAGTTAATCTTCACACGACGTTTGATGGGAAGTCGAAAGTACGGCGCTATATCATTATTATTATTATTATTCATACTCCGCTGTGCCCTAGGGCGTGCCGGACCCTCAGCTATTTAGTGTACAGGAACGAGCCTCCTGGCTAAGTTGTACATCGGCAGCTTCCCCGAGTCCATCAGCCAGTCGAGGACTCTCCTCGCGAGCCGTGCAGTCGTGGGATTGATGCCGTGTAGAACAGAGTAAAAGTCCCGTCGTGTCCAAATTCCAGTTCTCTCCCATCTTCGAGTCAACGGTGGGGCCAAACACCACACTACCAGGTGTTCGGCAGTCTCTCGTCCCTCGCCACACTCGCAGGCAGGAGTCAGAACCTCCTGGACTCCCGGTGTAAACAAGAAGTCCCGTAAGCCTATTGCTCCCGTCCGGATTTGAATCAGCAGTGAGCTCTTCGCCTTGCTGAGACCGTCGTGCCTCCTTAGGGTTTCGTTCCGGAATAGCGTCTCCTGCTGATGGTCAAAGTCGTCCGCCGGCCTGGTGATTGCCCTGCCGTCCCGTTCCTTTAACCACCTCGCTTTCCAAGCCTCTTCTACTCCCCTGTCCGTGTCTGCGATCCCCCCGTCCAGCGCGCGATCGTGCTCGCGGCTTTCTCCACCGCCGTGGGCTCCCGCAGTCCCACAGTTCGCGGTCGGCCCCTGTTACCGCTCTTCGAGCGTAGTCTCTGCTGTATCCTTTGACAGGCGGTAAGAATAACGCTCCCTGCGGTCTTCTTGCTGCCTTGGCCGTCATCTAGGTCGGTTCGCTGGAGTCTGGTCTCAAAGTCCGCAAGCCGTTTGTTGAGATATAGGTCCAACGGCGGCACCCATGTCTCCGTCTCGAGGTTGCGGATGGGGGTGTGCTTAAAGGCTCCCGCTACAATCCGCAAGCTTTTGTTCTGGGCCTGCCCGAGGGCCTTGGTGCAAGATCCATGCTCGCCAACGATACAAATCGTCGGCACCCGCAGAGCTATCACGGACGATCTTACGAAAAGACGAACGAGCATTCGAAAAATAAGGGAGAGGTTCATCGGCGAGAGGCGATCGAGACCAGGAAGCTTTTGTGAAAGTCGGGCGGCACTGCCGAGGGACTGCAAGATGGCGGCGGAGGCGCAGCCCCAAATCGTGGTCGAGGTGGCCGACCAACCACCTTCGCCGAGACGACCGAGCCGCGCGTTGAAACCGAGCGCGAAAGCTCGCGAAGCCATGCAATCGCTCGAGGACGTGGCTACCACGTCGAGGAGAGCGGCGAGCGAGACCACGCGGGCGGTTACGACGCGAGGAGCACGCGCGTCTGGGATTTTATATGGAGCCAACAGCCGGATCGAGACGGGGAAGTCAGGTATACAGATGCTCCTGGAGGCGATCAACGAACAACGAGACGAAATGTACCGAATGATTACCGAGCAGCGAAACACGATTGGCGAACTACGCGAGGTGATTTGCAAGCAGCACGACGCGATTCAAGAACTACATCGCCAACTTGCAGACACCAGGACCCAGCTTTCTGAAGAACTGAGACAAGCGCGGGATCAGATTGATACCCTTCAACGCCACCCGGTAGCCATGGCTTCGTCCCAACCAAGCGCAAGAGGGTCATACGCCGAAGTCGCTCGCACCCCACCATCAAGCCAGCCAAGCGGTGTGCGCACCCTCTCCTCGCGAAACACGACGCCTTCATCCTTTACCGACACGTTGTTCTGTACGATCGATACATCTAGGGTGGAGGAGAAAGAGAAGGGAAACGTCCAGGTGGCGGACATTAGAAAGGCAATCGAGACAGAGGCCAGGGCACAGGAAAGCATGAAAGACTGGCGTTGCGCTGCGGTTGTGAAGGAGGCCCGAAACCCGGACCGAGTCAGAGTAATTTGCAGGGACGAAGGCGAGGTCCAGCTCGTCAAGGAAGCGGCAGTGAAGATCAGTGTTCCTGGAGTGCGGGTATTGAGAGACCAGTTGTACCCGGTGAGGGTAGACAATGCCAACCGAACAGCGGTCCTCGATGCGGACGGAAACATCCTGCCGGGAGCCGCAGAGGCGCTAGGGACAGAGAACGACGTCAACATTGCGAAGATTGCCTGGCTCAGCAGGAAGGATACAAGCAAGGCCTACGGCTCGATGGTTGTCTACGTGACGAAAGGGCAGCGAAGCAAAGGCGACTTCTAGACGGGCGTTACTTCCATCTCGCCGGAGAATCCGCTTACACGACCGTTTTCGCGCCCCGGGAAGGCCCAATCCAGTGCTACAGATGCCAGGAGATCGGCCATAAGGCCTTCGCCTGCAAAAAGCCGCAAAGATGCGGAAGGTGTGCGGAACAGGGTCACCACCACAAGACGTGTCAGTCCGTGGTCCTGAAGTGCGTGCTATGCAGAGGACCACACGAGTCATTTAGCAAGAACTGTCGGGTACGCTGGTTGAACAATGGGGCCCAAGACGCTTAAGATCCTTCAGCTCAACGTCCGCAAACGGAGAGAAGTGCAGCAGAGTCTGCTAAACGACGAGGGACTCAAGGACTTCGCAGTGCTGGCCATCTCCGAACCATATGCCAGGCTGATCGAAGGCTCGGTGACGACGGTCCCAATGAGTCATCACAACTGGACGAAGCTTATACCAACGACAAGACGAGAAACCACGTGGCCAATTCGGAGCATGCTATGGGTACGAAGCGATATAGAGGTCGAGCAGATTCCAGTGCCGTCGGCAGACCTCACCGCAGCACGCATTCGGCTCCCAGATCGGGCAGTGCTGATGGTGTCAGTGTATGTGGAGGGTGGTAGTGACGAAGCACTGGAAGATGCAATGAGGGAAATTGACCGACTGATTTAGAAGTTTCGAAACGAAACAGGGACGAGAACTGAATAATCATTCTGGCGAGGGATTTCAACCGCACACGACCCAGCTATGGGGAGAGAACGGATG